CATCTGCCAACTGCTTCTGAGTGCTGCAGTGTACAACTTCTAACACTCCACTCTGAACTTGATGTCTCAGAAAATGATACTTGGTCTCAATATGCTTGCTTCTCCCATGCAACACTGGGTTTCTAGCAAGATTGATTGCAGACTTATTGTCAATCATCAACTTCAGAGGTTTGTCTACTTTAATCTTCAGATCCTGCAACAGATTCAGAATCCACACAGCTTGGCATGCAGTAACAGCACCTACAATGTATTCAGCTTCACAGGTTGACAACGCCACAACAGGTTGCTTCTTGGAACACCAAGAAATGGGACCTCCCAGAAATTTGAACAAGTACCCAGATGTACTTCTTCTGTCAACTCTGTCTCCACACCAATCAGAGTCTGAATAACTCAGAAGTTCTGACTCATTATTTCCTCCAGAGGGAAATAACACTCCATACTTCAGAGTTCCTTTGATATACCTCAGAATCCTGACAGCAGCTTGGTAATGGGACCACTTAGGTTTACTCATGAACCTACTAACCATCCCAACTGAGTAGCAAATATCAGGTCTGGTATTGCACAGATACCTCAGAGAACCAACCAACTGTTTGAAGGTTGTAGCATCCACATCCTTTCCTTCAGAGTCTGAGTCCAGTTTCTGATTTGTATCAGAAGGTGTGACAGCCATCTTACAATTCTTCAGATCAAATCTCTTCAGAAGTTCTAATTCATACTTGAGCTGATGCAAAATGATACCTTTCTCAGAATATCTGAACTCCATCCCTAGAAAGTATGTCATTTTGCCTAGATCAGTCATTTCAAATTCATTCATTAGAACCTTCTTGAACTTGGCTATCTCCTGTTCAGAACTTCCAGTCAATAGTATATCATCAACATATAAACATACCAGAGTCATATTGCCTTCAGAAGTATGCTGAACATAGACACCGTACTCCATCTCACATTTCTGAAAGCCTTGCTTCTTGAAAAATGAATCAATCTTCTGATTCCAAGCTCTGGGCGCTTGTTTCAATCCATATAGAGCTTTGTATAATCTGTACACCATCCCTTCCTGATTCTTTTTCACAAATCCAGGAGGTTGTGACACGTAAACTTCTTCTTCTAATGGACCATTCAGAAATGCAGATTTTACATCTAAATGCATCAGAGGCCAATTCCTGTTAGCAGCTATTGCAATCACCATTCTGATTGTTTCATGTCTTGCTACAGGTGCAAACACTTCAGAATAATCCAGCCCAGGTTTCTGTAGGAATCCTCTGGCTACCAACCTTGCTTTATGTTTGCCAATTGAACCATCTGGCTTTAACTTCTGCTTGAAAACCCATCTGACGCTGATGGCTTTCTTGTCTTTTGGAAGTTCTGTCATCTTCCAAGTCTTGTTTCTCTCTATAGCATCAAGTTCTTCTTTCATGGCCTTCAGCCAGAGCTTCTGCTTAAGAGCCTCCTCTGTACTTATAGGTTCAGAGTCTACTAACATGGCACACTGAATAACTTCTCCTTCAGAGTCTACTTCAGTGTCTTGCAGCATGTCAAATTCTGCAAATCTTCTGGGAATGCTTCTGATTCTTTGTGGTCTCTGAACTTGTTCAGAGTCTTGAACTTCAGAGTTTCTAGCTTCAGATGATTGACCTCCAGAGCTTTGACCATCTTCAGAGTCTGGCATATTTCCAGAGTCTGAATTGCTACCAAGATCTGGATTGTCATCAGAGTCTGAATCATCAGAGTCTGGATCATCAGAGTCTGGATCATCAGAGTCACCTTCATCTTCTGAGTCATCTTCAGAGTTTGAATCAGTATCAGAGTCAGAGTCAACGTCAGGGTTTACTTCAACTTCAGAAATTCTTAACTCTGACCTTTCTTCAGAGGTTCTAACATCAGAATCAGATTGAGACTTATCCCAATTCCAGACTTCTGATTCCTTCACAATCACATCTCTGCTGAATTCAATTTTATTGGTTTCTGGACAATAGAGCTTGTATGCACCTGTACTGTGGTACCCTATCAGAATCATCACTTTGCTTCTATCATCCAGCTTCTGTCTTCTGGCTTCTGGAACATGTTTATAGCAAACAGAACCAAACACCTTCAGATGACTAACACTTTGCTTGTCTCCAGTCCACTTCTGCATAGGAACTATTTCCTTCAACTTCTTCGTAGGACATCTGTTGAGTACATACGTTGCAGTGGCAACAGCTTCTCCCCAGAGCTTCTGAGGAAGCTTCTTCTCCTTTAGCATGCTTCTCACCATATCAAGCAAAGTACGGTTTCTTCTTTCAGCAAGACCATTGTGTTGAGGGGTATAAGGAGCAGTAACCTCATGCTCAATTCCATTCTCCTCACAGAACTTCTGGAACTCTTTGGAGTTATACTCACCTCCACCATCAGTTCTAAGAATCTTCAACTTCTGACCACTCTGATTCTCAGCCTTCATTCTGAACTTCTTGAATTCATCAAACACCTCGTGTTTGAACTTTATAAGGGATACCCATGTCATTCTTGTGAATTCATCAACAAACAACACAAAGTATTTATTCCCTCCAATTGATGCTACTGGAAATGGACCACACACATCAGAGTGTACAACTCCCAAGGCATGTTTTGCTCTTGGAGCAACTTCTGATGCAAATGGCAATCTTGGTTGTTTTCCTTCCATGCAAACTTTGCATGACTTTTCAGGCTTCTTAATTGCAGGAATTCCATGTACCAATTTCTTTGAATTCAGATGTTGTAAGCTTCTGAAATTCAAATGACCAAATCTTCTGTGCCACAGCTCACTCTCCTTCTCAGTACTTGTTGCACTAAGACACTCTGAGTCTGCAGTTCTGACATTCACCTTGAATGTTCTATTCCTTCCCTGTTCTGACTCCATAATCAACTTCTGATTACAGTCATACAGCTTCAGAAGATTGTCCTTCATGGTAACTGAGAAACCTTTCTCAATTAATTGCCCCACACTCATCAGATTGCTTCTGATGCCAGGTACATACCACACATTCTGAATCAATGCTATTTTCCCATTGTTCAGAGTCACTCTGACATTTCCCATACCTTCTGCATTAAGATATTTGTCATCAGCACATCTGATCTTTGTTCTCTTTTCAGAGTCAAAGTCAACCAGCCATTTCTTGTTTCCAGTAAGATGATTTGAACAGCCAGTGTCCATATACCACCAGTCTGTCAGATCCACATTATCAGATTCAGAGGCCATCAACAGCACAGATTCGTCATCAGAGCCTCTGGCTATATTTGCTTCTTCTGATTTCTTCTCCTTGTTTGACCAACAATCTCTAGCAAAATGGCCAAACTTCTTACAACAGTAACATTGTATTTTTCTTTTGTCATACTTCTCTTTTCCCCTCTGAGCATTCTTTTGTCTATCAGAGGTTGAGCTTTCTGACCTCTGACCACCATCAGATCTTCTCCTGACTTCTGACTGCTTCTGATACCTCCTATCAGAAGTTGTTTTCAGAGCCTGCTGTTCTACTTCCTTTTCAGAGTTTCTCTCAGTCAGACGCAACTCTTGCGCTTCTAGACTGCTCTGCAGCTCTTCAATTCTCATTGTGCTCAGATCTTTGGAATGTTCTATTGCTACCACAATGTAATCAAATTGAGGAGTAAGGGATCTCAACACTTTCTCCATGATTGTTTCTTCAGAAAGAGTTTCTCCACATGCCTTCATCTCATTAGTGATCAGAATCACTCTGGAGATGTATTCAGAAACTTTCTCATTATTCTTCATGTTGAGATTCTCATATTGCTTTCTCAAGGACTGAAGCTTCACCTTCTTCACTGATGCGTCACCACCATAACATCTCACCAGAGTGTCCCATGCAGCCTTTGCTGTTGTAGAGTCTGCAATCTTCTCAAACACGTTTACATCCACACATTGATGAATGAAGAACAATGCTTTCTGATCCTTCTTCCTTACTTCCTTCTGCGCGTTTTTCTGTTCATCAGTTGCATCTGTTGCTACTGGAACATAACCATCAGTGACAAGATCCAGAACATCTTGAGCACCAAACAGTACACGCATTTGGATCATCCAACGATTCCAGTTTTTACCATCAAATACTGGAAGTTTGGTGTTCATGTTGCCGTTTCCGTTCATCTTCTACTTTGCACAATACACTCAGAGTTTTCTCACACAGTGTTTCCCAACCCACAGAATTAAAAAATTCTGATCAGATTTTGTTCAAGATTCAACAAGAATCTGAGAAACAAAATCAAACACACAAGACCTCACGTTCACTCGTGTTTCCCGTGTTTCCCAATGAATCTGAACCGGAGCTCTGATACCAATTGTTGGTGCAAAGATAGAATAAATGATGAAATAGGAAATATTACTAATAAGAGAATGACGGCTACAAAACATGATGATTTGTTACAATGATTGTCACCCTATTTATAAGCTAAAACTAGGGTTACTAGAATAAGATAAATACTAAAATACCCTCTAACAAACTTAGGGGCTAAGAAAATAGTACAACTAAATAAATATGAATTATTAATAATATTCTAATAATATAAATGGTTTCTCCAGATTTTACCATCTGAATGGTGTGTCTGAATATTATTATCCATAACCACTCATTTAAGCAATATTGTGTCTCTGAAACTTAGCGTAACTAATTTCAAAATTTTATAGAATTTGGGAGAGTTGAACAATCTCTTAATCCCCATATAGTTATTACATTAATTAAATATATCTATCAACCGCTGTTGAATTGAATACAAAAGAAAAATATATATAATCTAAAATGTTGAATTTTTTTTAATGGACAATAGCTAATTGAGTTTTTTTATGACAAATGTTTAAAATTACGCATGGCATCTATCTTTGAAATAGTAGAAGTTTTCAATCATAAGATCCTAAATTTCTACATGTCTCACGCGTGTCTCTCCCAAAACTCTCCATCTCCCTATATAATGAACTCTCCTTGTCCTTCCTTATCTTTTTCAAGCTAGCTTCAAAGTTGTAAGCAACAAGCCAAGAAACCATGGGAAACAGAGCGACTCTTTTGATCATGCTGCTTATTCTTTGTCATGGTGTGTCCATGACAATGGGGTTATGGAGGACAGAAACAGAAAATAAAGAAAATGGACCACATTTCAGGCATGAAAAACTGTTCTTGATGCGAAACTCCAAGCGTTTAGTGAAGACTGATGCCGGGGAGATGAGTGTGTTTCGGAGTTACGGTGGAAGAATTTCTGAGACACCATTGCATATTGGTTTCATTACTATGGAACCAAGTTCTCTCTTTGTTCCTCAATATCTTGACTCCACTCTCGTCTTGTTTGTCCGTTCCGGGGAAGCGAAGGTGGGATTCATGTCTGATGATGAATTGGCTGAGAGTGAATTGAAGAAGGGTGATGTGTATCAAATTCCAGCTGGTTCGACGTTCTATTTGTCAAATGTTGGAGATGAACAAACTCTGCAGATTATTTGCAGCATTGATCCATCAGAGAGTTTGGGAGTAGGAATTTTCCAGGTATATATAGAAACAAATCAATATCTTTATGTATAATTTGATTAACATGCTTGCTAATTTGTTAATATGTTCGTAGTCTTTCTATATTGGAGGAGGTTCTAATCCAGTGTCAGTACTTTCCGGATTCCATCCTCGAATCCTCGAAGCCGCTTTTAATGTAAGGCAACAAAGAAATTAACAATGTTATTATCTATCAGGGTTGTGTTCGACGTTCGTGTCTGTGTTTAACGCGGTTTAAAATGAACTTGATTATAGGTATCAGGAGTAGAGTTGGGGAGATTCTTCACGAGGCGACATGATGGTCCGATTGTGCATGTTGGTGATTCACATGCCAAGGCTTCAAGCTTATGGACCAAATTCCTTCAACTAAAAGAGGATGAGAAATTGCATCACATGAAGAGAATGTTGCAAGATCAAGATGAAGATAAAGAAAATGATGAAGATGAAGTTAAGCAAAAAACAAGTTGGTCTTGGAGGAAGCTATTGGTATCTGTATTTAGCAATGAGATGCAAAAGAAGAAAGCAGACCATGATAGCCATAAATCTCCTCACTCTTGCAATCTCTACGATAGAAAACCAGATTTTGAAAATAGTTACGGTTCAAGCGTTGCTCTAGGCGGTTCCGATTATTCTCCACTCAAATCTTCCGGAGTTGGCCTTTATCACGTCAATCTCAAGCCGGTATGCAAGCCTAGTATTGTTTAATAGTTAGTCACGCGTGCAGACACAATCTCATTACTACATGCAGTCAGCCACATCTTGGCCAGAAGATCTAGATGTGCCTGAGCATATCTGACCACGCTGTCAGCCACATCTTGACTGATCAGATGGTCATTATGCGACTGAGCTTTTGCGGTCGCATTGCATATAGTTCAAATATTATTTGCATTTTTTAAAATAAATGTCCATAACTACAAGTTGGACAAAGAAGTAACTGTAATTTATTGTAGGGATCGATGATGACACCGCATGTAAACCCTAGGGCAACCGAGTATGGCATAGTGATGAAAGGCTCTGGTAGAATCCAAATATTGTTTCCAAATGGAAGCAATGCAATGGACACAGAAATAAAAGAAGGAGATGTTTTCTTTGTGCCAAGATACTTTCCATTCTGTCAAATAGCATCAAGTATTGAACCGCTAGATTTCTTCGGATTCACAACTTCTTCAAAGAAGAACAAGCCACAGTTTTTGGTGGGTTCTTCATCACTCATGAAGACCATGATGGGACCTGAACTCGCAGCTTCTTTCGGAGTGAGTGAGGACACAATGCAAAAAATCCTTAATGCACAACACGAGGCTGTTATTCTACCAACCCCATGGACAAAACCTGAACAACAGAGTTAGGATAACAAAGTGGATTGGTTGAAGATACTTCCAAAGATTGAAACAATCATGACATGATTATGGGATTGGATTTTTGTTTTTGGTTTTTTTGACAGTCTTATTGCTTTTGTTTTTGTTCATTATAAGAAGCTTTCTTTTTTGAGATCATGATCACATTATTATGGGAATAATGAATAAAACAAATGCTTCGATTTAATTTTTTTGAATTATTCTTTCTCTTTATCTTTCTTGTTTGTATTTCTATGGAGTAAAATTGAAAAATATAGGTTGAGCTATTTCTAACAACTTAGTAACTATTATAACTTCCTCATATAACAACTTTAACTAATTCATAACAAATACAGCAGTTTCTTGAGAAGCAAGAAACTGACTTAAACTAATAAATTATTCACAATACACCATCTAACTTATATAGTTTCTAATGAATTCAAGTTTTACATTATTGACTTGAATAAATTTTAAAAAACTGTCCGCGACCACGAAAACGACTATGACAAAACGGTGTCAGTAGATTACTGATACCGTTATTTAATATTTTTATGTTAAAGAATAAATTGAGTTTAATTCATATCGTAACAACCGCAATCAACATTGCAACACCTGTACCAACAACATGACGAATTCACACGATTATAATGTGACCTTACTTTGTATACGGGGAAGTACAAAGCCTCAATATGAATGATCTTTGTGTGAATATGTGATGGAATGCCTTGGCCATTCTTTGAACTACTTAAAGTCGTTCTAACATAAATAGTCCATCAAAACTTTCATCGTTACATTCGTTATGTTGTTATTGCTTTTTAATGGAGTTGATTCGAACTGCAAGATTAGCTTTTGTGGCCTTTACTATTATTATTGTTACATCAAAACAAATCGTTCATCCCTTGTTATTCTGAATTGGTCTCAAATACATAACTCTTATCTTAAATTTGTTGGATGACTCAAAGTTGAGTTAACTTCTTGCCTAAAAGCCTAATTAACCTCCTAGTTGGATTATCTCTCCCACACCTATCGTGGCAAGCTAATAAATATGACTCGAGGTCGACTTCATCACGAACCAACCTTTCTTTATAATGATTGACACAACAATTTTAATTGTTTCAAGTCTTATTATTAGTGCAAATGTCTCATTGAAGTTTAGACTAATTCTTTGTAAGAAATCACTTACTACTTGTCTTTATTTGTGTTTCGAACCAGGTTAGTGCCAATTCTTCGAAACCATAACAAACGACCCTAACAACAAAAAGACCAAATATCATGCGATGCAATTATGATTGTTAGATCAATGTAAATTGAGATTTTAGAACATTTGTATCCAAAAATAGGCGTTCCCAAATGTGTGTTTGGATAATTTAAAAATAACATAGTGGAGTGAAACGAAACATAATAGAATAAAGTATAATGGAACAGAACATAAACTTCATTTCATTATTTTGATATTTTATGACAGACCAAAACTAATATCCATTCTATTGTTTGAAAATTGAACGGAGCAGAAAACATTACAATCTTTTTATTCCATTTTTACCTTTTACTTCAAAAATATTAATATGGTTAATGAAAGTGAAAGTTCAGAAGACAAGTTTGTAATTAGAGATGGAAATAGACTGGGTCGAGTTAAGCTTTGCCAAACTTGAGTTTGTCCTGTTAAAAAATTTAAAGCCTAAATTTGACTTGTAGCCTATCATAGGCTTATTTTTAGGTCTAAGTATGACCTTTACGAAGGCCTGATTGGCCTACTAGCCTACTTAAAAGTCTACTTTATTTGAACATTTGTAAATAAGAAATTCAACTAATGCTAAATAGACTGACAAATTAAAAGATTATTGAAACTAAATATTTGTTTTCATTGTCTCATTCGAGATAACTTATGGGAAAAAAACTTATGACAATAACTTATGACATTGTTTATAATGTTTTTTCAACTTATTTTCATAAGTTTTTCAAAATAATTAAGTTTTATTTTCGTATTTTAATTCAAAGGACAAAATACAATATAATAATAATAAGTTTATTGAATATTTTATAAATAGACGGACCTGATAGGCTTAAAAAGATTTTCTTACGGCCTGTGGCATAACTAACCTCTTTAACTAAATAGGCTTATAAGTTTTTTAAAATAACTAAGTTTTATTTTCGTATTTTAATTCAAACTACAAAATACAATATAATAATAATAAATTTATTGAATATTTTATAAATAGGCTGGCCTGATAGGCTTAAAAAGCTTTTCTTACGGCCTGTGGTCTAACCTCTTTAACTAAATAGGCTTATAAAAAAGCCTATGTCTTTTCTATTTAAGAAAAAGACTGCTCTTACCTGAGCCTATGTAGGCTAGGCCATAGGCTCCTGTTAGTTGATCTGCCCTATTCCCACCCCTATTTATAATTATGTTACTCTCTTCGTTTCATAATAAATGTCTTATTTGAGCTGTGCGCGATTTTTAACAAAATGATTAGATATGTTGATTTTAATGATAAAATTGATATAGTTTATCAAAATACCATTGTTATTATACTTAGTGGAAATAGTACTAATTTATTTCATTCTATTAGATACACTCCAATTTAGATGGAATGAAAAATAGACTAAAATAATAGTATTAAATGAAATGACTTCTATCACATTTCATTCCTATTCATTTTTTTTGGTAAAACCAAACAATAGAACATGACACCATTCCACTCAATTCTATTCTATTTCATTTATTTCCATCTATCTAAACCCTAATAAAAACCTAATGAATACCTAATTCTAATATTAAAATATTTCACTTTTGATAATCAATAACTTGGACATCATAGTGACTTTTGAGATTTTTTTTAATATAACTATGTTTTTTTTAACAAAAATACTAAACAAATTAAAATATCAAATTTTTTATTAAAATGACTAAGTTTCTACGTTGGATCGCCAACTCAATTGGCGACATAGTCCAAATGAAGTGGACTCGCCATTTCAAATGGTGACATTGCCCAATTGGTCCAATAGAGAGTCGCCAATTGGTTTGACTACTCCTTTCATTTATTTATTTTTTCTTTTTAGTGTTTACGTTTTTTATTTCAATTTAAAAAATAAAAAAAATTCAAATGAGAGGAGTAGCCAATTGGTTTGGCTACTCCACCTACTTTGGCCTAACTCGCCACATTAATTGGCGACAACACTTTAAAACCTAGCCATTTTTATTTTTTTTTCAAATTTTGATTTATTTAGGGTCTGTTTTGTTCAAATGAGGGGGAGGGGAGGGGAAGTGAAGGAATTTTTTAATCAAATAAGTGTTTGGTTCAAAATGGAGGAGGGGAGGGGAATGATTTTAATTAAAAATGTGTTTGGTTCAGAAGGGGTGGGGAAGAGTTTTATTAATAATTTACATTTTTATCCTTATGATCTTATATAAGTTATATGATATTAAAATGTGAAAAATTTGTGCATATTTTTGTTGGTAATAAAATTTCTAATATTGAGTGATTAAAAAAATATTTATTTCTCACATAAAGTTAAAAGATTGAGTACAATCGATTCGACTTATAACTTTTCAACATAAATTAAACTATATGCCAATAACATCGTTTAAATTGTGATGAATCATATAACAAAACAAATATATAAAATAACTTATTACTAAATATTAATGGTTCAAAATATTTAATAAAATGAATAAATAAAAATAAATAAAATGATATGGTTTACAATTTGATATAAAAGAAAATATGATAGAGTACATAACAAAATTTTAAAAAAAAGAATATAACGAAACATAATTTTTTTTATAAAAAAAAGACAATGATTATGATTTATATTAATTATAAAAATTATAAAATAATTTGAAGGTAGAGAACAATTATAATAAATTGATGAAAACAATCGAGAAAAACAGTAATACAAAAGATAACAAATAGTTTTGAAATAATAAAATTAAACTGAGAATATTTTAGTAAATATAATAATTTTTAAATATCAAAACTCATATTCCCTCCCCTCCCCTCCAAATCTCCCAATTCGAAAGGAACTAAAAAATATATTTTGGAGGGATTTTGAACCAAACAGATTTAATTAAAAATTTTCCCTCGATCTACCCCGAATCAAACACACCCTTAGTGTTTTAATTAAATAACATTGTTATACTTAACAAAAATTCGACTTTTGATCCTTAGAGTAGCGGTATTTGATAAGGTTAGTGGTAATGACTCTTGGTAGTTTATGGAAGTGATGGTTAAAGTAGTAATTGTTTTATAAAATATATTTTCGTTTTACAATTACAAGGCACGAGAAGGAGAGATCCATCACGCGCAAAACACGTGACTGCTAGATCTAGAGAGTAAAATCTTGCGGTGGCGTAGCAAAAGAGAGAGAATATCAGACCATAGATCATGAGAACTCGCCGCCCGCACACTCACTCCGCCGCCGCAACCGCAATTTCATCCTCTCTTCTTCTAATCCTAACAACAACATGTCTCCTTCTTCTCTCTTTTTCAATTCCCGCCCAATCGGAAGTCATCACTTTAACCTCCGACACCTTCTCCGATAAGGTTCCTTATTCATCTCTCACTTTTCAATTCCTTATATTCATCGATTCTATTTTTAGTGTTTAGGGTTTGTGTTTAATAGGATTTTATTTACTTTAAGATTTTTTCTCTATGGTCTTAATTCTCAATTTCATTTTTATTTGATATTTTCAGATAAAGGAGAAAGATACTGCGTGGTTTGTGAAATTCTGCGTTCCCTGGTGCAAGCATTGGTAATTAATTCTGCTATACACTTTTCAATACTCTAAATTTGATGCTCAAAATGCTGTTTTCTGTAGCACCTACGTCTCTGAAAAAAGTTGAGTAGTGTCTGTGTCGTCGACGTGTAACAAACACTCAGAGTTATGTTTAATTTATTCATTTTTTCAAATTATTACCGGTGTCAGTGTCGGCGATGGGTCTGTGTTGTGTTTTCGATGTCCGTGCTTCATTGGTTGGATTGGATTATAAGATCATAAGAGTTTAATTATGAGTATGTGACTCTAGAATTTTAGAAGTGGTTGTTATTAACACACCAAACATTTTTAATGATCTTACGGCGATTATAATTGATTGACAATGTATATGAATTAAATCGAAATAATATTAGAAAAGATTGTTTGCTAAATCAAAATATAAATATAATAGAAACGATTGTTTGTTTGATTTCCAGCAAGAATTTGGGCTCGCTGTGGGATGATGTTGGTAAGGCAATGGAAAATGAAAATGAAATAGAGATTGGAGAAGTTGATTGTGGCACGGATAAAACTGTTTGTTCTAAAGTTGAGATTCACTCGTATCCTACATTTAAGGTTTTCTATGATGGAGAAGAAGTTGCCAAATATCAAGGTAATTCATCCTTCTGTATAATATTTCGTTTTGTTGGATTTTACTCAATTGCTCTGTTAAAGATTATAACCATTTATGAGTTGTAGGACAAATTTTTCATAGTGTAATGTTTTGTTTTAGGGCAAATTACACTGGCATCCCTTAGTTATGTTACAGGATCACTTACACCCCGTCTAGTTTTAGAAATACACAAACCTCCCTTGACGTTTACCCCGATAGATTACCGTTACTCTGTTAGTAACGGTGAGATAAACAAAGAAAAGTGACATTATCATGAAATTCATAGGCTGAAAGCTCATTTGTGAACTACAAACCCATCTAGTAGACTGTAATATTGGTGCCACTTATCAAATGCATTTAACATTGTTACTTTGTTTATTTCATTTTACCAGCCAACGGATAAACCTCAAATAGGCTCTTACAAATACAATAACATTTCGACATATTTGAATCATAGATTGCAAAATTAGGGATTTGAAATAAATAAAAGTTACATAAACAAAAGGGAACGACAAGCATGAGTAAAAGTCTAAGCTTTGCTAGATTATCTTAGAACGTGTCCACTTTTTGGCGTCTATGTGTTTTGTCTATAATATCAGTTAGTGTCCTTCAAATCTTCTTTATACTGAATTTTTCATTTAACCTTTGGGTTTGAACCTAATGGAAGAGTTCTCATTTAGTCCATGGAGTGAGAGTAGCTTCAAAAATGGGGGAGCAATTTCAAAGTAGCCGCACGAGTGAAAGAAGAGGATTAGCTTCTAGAACTTTGGTTTTAACTCTTCAATGGTGCATAAACAATGTTAATGTGAAAGGGTGGTCTCTTTCATTTGAAAGAATAATTGAGGGAGGTTAGTGTCTACTTAAAAACTAGAGAGGGTGTTCGTACCTTTTAAAGAAGCCTTAGGTGAGGTGAGAGCAAATTCCTCTTTATTTTACAGTTTTCTTCTACTATTTCTTGAGTAAGAAAAAAAAAACTAAAGAAATTTAACAATGCATGTCAAAGGATAATGTTGGTTTGTGGGGACACTCATCGGTCTCGTAAGTTCTCAAGACGATACAGTGGGTAAAGGGTATTGGTTATGATAGAGTTATACTTTAGATGCACTATAAGGTAGTGGTAGTGGTCTTGGTTATGGTCTAGTCAATAACTCAGATCATTCTGAGCTAAGTTTCATGCCATCATAGGAGAATTTCTCTCTTTTCTTGGTTATACCTCCAAATTTTAGAGTGATACTTTTTATCAAGAGATATAAATTGTCATGGGTTTAATGAAGGGAATATCCTGTTAAAGGGAGTACTGCATTATTTTTACTTGTTGATGTTTCATGTTTATCTATACCCATGGTTCCTTGGGTATAACTTGCATTGAATTAGGATAGAGCCTGTTTGATTACTAATTTTGCAACAGTTTTTTTTTTCCAACTCAAATACTACTATTTGAAAACAAAAAATAGAATGAAAATAGGTGGTATTTATGTAATAAAAAGTGAAAATAGAAAACAATTTCTCAAACTAAAGTACTGAACAGGCATTTTCCCTCCACAATCCATTTTTTGAGTAGAAACGTGGAAACATTCTTTAGCTTTTATTTTAATCATTTGTAATACAAAATGATGGAGAAATAGAAGGGGATGTTAACCATCGAATTCAAGATGGGTAGTAGAAATGGAGGAGGGCCTCAAGGGTTTATGTCACACAAAAGTACCGCTCAAGTTGAAGGGGAAATTTTATCAGACAACGGTAAGACTTGCGATGTTGTACGAGACCAAATGTTGGGCGGTTATGAATCAACATGAGAATAAAGTTAGTGAAATAGAGATGCGAATGTTGCGTTGGATGTGTAGTAAGACTAGACAAGGTAAGATTAGAAATCACAATATTAGAGAGTGTTGGGGTAGCGTCTATAGTAGAAAAGATGATGGAAAATAGGCTTAGGGGATTTGGGCATGTAGAGAGAATACCCTTAGATTTTGTTGTAACTCGTAAGGCGAGTAGATCAGATGGAGAGAAGTCAAACAACTAGAGGTAGAGTAAGACTTAAAAAAACTATAAGAGAAACTATTAAGAAATATCTCAAGATTAACAAATTGGATAGAAACATGGTCTTGGATAGAACATTATAGCAGAATTTGATCCATGTAGCCGACATTACTTAGTGGGATAAGACTTGTTATTTATTTGTTTTCATGGATTAACAAGAATTGAATCAAGCATCTGCTAGAATTTCTTTTGGAATTCTTCTGCTGATAGGTACCTCAAAATATCAAAAGTAAAAATAGGAATTCAATTTTTTGAACATGAAAGTTCAGGTTTGAGTATGTTGAATAATAATTTCAGTCTTGGACTACTGAATTAGAGGAATAAATGCCAATTATTGAGTGAAATGACTAGTAAAGTAGAAAACATGCAGAACAAAGCAAAGGCCTACATGCCAACTGATTCCCAACCTGCCTCTCTTCCTCTTCTCACCCAATACATATACTCAGTACTCACTCTCTGGAAATGCATCACATACCTCAGCCATTACTCTTGCCACACATAAGAAGTTGGTTTCCTCATCCCCCTCCTCTCTCCACTAAATCAGATCAGGTGCATGACACATCATACTTGATAAGGCACATCCTTCCTCTCTGGCCTCCTCTCATAAACCTTAGTTGTTATGGGCCTTGGGTTCACATAATTTTATATATCAAGTTTGGAAAACCAAACAAAAATCCCCATTTTCATTGCATCTACACAATTATGATCTTTCTGATATGGAAATTTGGAACAAAACCCTCACTAATGTTTTCTACTTACCAGATCTTGCGGTCTGTAATTGTATGCGTTTGTGAGCTTATCGTATTACTAGGTAGTATGCGCGTTAAATCAAGTGTCATCTACTAAGTTATCTAATTCACAGCATTTTTTAGGAAAAGTTTAGCAGAGATCAACACTACAATGAACTACCCGATAACCAAGTTTTCTATGTAATTTATCAGCCTAGAAGGAAGTTATTGAGAAACAAAAACACCCTTTTTATTGGAGACTAATTAATGACTTATTTTTTAAAACAGCCACTCCTTCCAACAAAAACTAAGGAGAAGATATAGATCATAAACTCTTAGGTATTGGCAAAGACAGTCTAACACCATAGTAATTTGAAAAGTGAAATAATTATGTATCAAAGTCACATTTGTGTCAGACACTGACCTGTGTTAGACATTGGATATACCTTTAATATGAAGGGTTGGTTTTACATAGATCTTAAACCGAATCTTATATATGTATGTGGTGAAATATTCAGGTACAAGGGATGTTGAATCATTGAAAACTTTTGTTTTGGATGAAGCTGAAAAGGCAGCAGCAAAAGCACAACTCGATAGTGATAAAGAATTGTAACTAGTTTTGAGGTAGCAACCGAGCCTCCCACTCCCTTCACAATTATTCTTTTATTCTCTAGAATTTTGTGATAGTATGTTGTAAGGGATGACTTAAAATCTCAGATGATGGTGTTAAATCAGTGTGTTACTGATATTGATTCTAGGAAAGATACCGTTGAGGATATTTTAATTCTTGTGAACAAATTTTCAATTTAGGATGAATTACCTGAAAAGAATGGTTAGTTTGGTCAAAATATTAACAAGTCTGCTATACTGGTTAATAATCTATACTTACCACCATATTTAAAATTATAATTTCCCTATAATTGGGCATTCAATAATTTGATTGATAACAGATACTCACATTCAGGCATTGCGCACACCAAAAGTGGTAAAGTCATTATGTTATGCTTTGATCAACTTTTTGTTTGTTGGTTTGTTTTGTCGTTATGACTTTAAAACTAATTCTGCACATTACCATTTTTTGTTTGTTTAATACACCACAAAATGTCTAGTGTCCGGATTACATTTAGATTTGTTCTTTCATCTTCTTGGAGAATTTTTCATGACACCTTCAAAATTTAACCTTCACATTCCCTTAATTTTTTATAATACCCATATAACCTTTGACAAAATTTTAACAAAATAGTGTGCATGAAAAATTCGGTAGAAATGAAATATCCGATTGTGTTTGTCAAAAGTCCGGTATGTATTTATACGGATTTTTTTTTATTTAAAAAAACTGGTGTGTGAAAAAATTTATCGGTTTTTTAGAAAATACAATGATATATCATTTTTTTTTGTTGCAAAATCTTGAAAAATTTGATAGTGTAAAATCATCGGTTTTTTTTTTAAATTTTAAATTTCTAAATCTCATGCATTTACAACATTTTTAGAGGAATTGCAAAAAACATGGTAGAGTAATTTCAATGGTTGAGATTTTGCGACAGTTTTGTATGGTTGTGATTGTACTGATAGTTGTGTTTAGACCATAATAAATTCAATCTTGTATAAATAGGGATCATATCATTAAAAAAATCATACAATGCCTTATATTTATCACATGTGAGTATTTCAACGGGGTGAAACCTTCAGTTGATTTTAGGTTCTTAAAAGACATATGTCTTACTCTTCTGAGATCAAAATTGAATAATATGTTGTCTGATATCGAGAACAGAAATGTGAGTAAGATTGAGTTTCGTGAATCATAAATTGATATCGTTGGAAGGGTAAAATACAATCATATTGATTGAAGAGTGATGAATATTTGAAGGTTATATAGAGAACATATCATCGTATGCTAACAAAGGGATCGATCAAGTTTGATGCGACAATTTTTAGATCTATTGACGACATAATCAAGATGTTGAAACGTCCAAATCATTTGGTAATGTCTGTGATTTTCTTATTTATTATTCTTATGTAATTTTTTGAATTAAGCTAATCGTAATGTGTTAAGATTTGTAGCGACGAAACATTATCTAATAAGCTCTATTTCGTCGGAGCCTCCGTCTCAAAATGTGGGGGCACCTCTGTCTCAACCATCATCTACTATCATCCTGACCCTCTATATCTTCAGCTGCTTCCTGAACATCCTCAGCAATTGGCTCATCATCAGGATTTCTAGTCCATCTGTCAACTCTAGATCCTCTACATAGGATATTGAGGGGTGCTTGCATTTGCTTGGACGTCACCCGCCTCCTATAATAACTGGTTGGAGTTACTCTTCCCGCGCGGATATGCGAGTCCTCGACGTTATTTCCCCTTGAACGAGCCATTGTTATAGCAACTGCAACTCTGTTTCGCTGCCTAAAAGCAATTGTCTCGAATTTTTTAAAATTTCTGGTCAACCTAAGCAACATTTTCCACTAGTGATTTTTTCAAAATCATTGGTATAACGACATACATTTTTACCATTTTTTCAAAATACCTGGTATCATTGCATGCATTTTTACCTACTTTTTCAAAATATCCGGTAGACAATATGCATTTTTATTAGAATTTTTAAAATATCTAGTAGAAAATATGTTTTTTTTATATTGAAAACTTCAAAATATCCAATATAAAACATGTATTTTTATCGAAAATTTCAAAACATCTGATAAAATGCATGAGAAACATGGGTTTTATCGGACAATTCTTAAAAAATGGTAAAAATACAAGTTTTTTTTTCTTTCCAAAAATCCAATAAAAAACAAAAAAATTCTGTAAAATTGTATACCTACTTGTCATAAATTCAGTAGATTAAAAGAAAAATTTGATATGAATAAGAGCTTTTCAAAAAATTCGAAATGTTACCATAGTGAAATAAATATTTGTTTAGCAAGATTTTTTTATTTATGAAAAAAGATGCTTCTATTAAACAGCAGAAAAATGTACAACAGAGCCCTGATGATCAATTAAAGGGTATTCGCCTAGCCAAGTTCTAGAACCCAAAATTTTTTCCACTCTCACAAGATCATGAGCAAGGAGGTTTTTGGTTCTACTAATATACATAATAGAGCTACCAGAACAACTCCTAAGGAGGATTCTACAATCCTTAGCAATAGGTTCAATACTAGCATACTCCTGACACAAATTAATACAATCAACATCATTTAAAGAGTCTGATTGAAGCAAGAAATTCCCAATATTAATGTTCAATTCTAGTTGTATACCCTACCTGATTGCAAGACATTTTGTAGCTATAGAGTCTAACAACCTCTTTTCAGATTTGCACGCTGAGAGAAGGATTTTCTTTTCTTAGTTCTTGACTATGCAGCCAAATGTTGATATACCTTCTTCAAAGACTCCTACATCAACCTGGACAATGACAGTGTTTGTTTGGAGCCAGACTCAACAATATTGGGAGTGGACCTGCGCTTCTTGTTTTCATTCCAATAGTTAAACTCTTGCACCATGTCAAGAGCCTCTACAGCCACTTGTGGAGGGGAGAAGGTCCTAGCATGAAAAACAATCGAATTCCTTGCTAGCTAGATTTTATAAAGGGTAGCACTAATGAGTTGACAAACCAAGAAATCCTTAGAAGTTAAAGACTCCTCAATCCAGCTACAAATATCCTTCTTTGACAGAACTCTAAGGCTAAGGATGAAAGAGAAAAAAGTCTGTTTAACAAATACACAGTCCAGAAAAATATGGTCCACCGTTTCAGCATTTGAGTTAAAGAAAAGACAAGATGAATCAAGAGTAATACCTTTTTTCCTAAGGTTGTCTTGTGTGGGCAGGATGTTTCTAGCAAGTCTCAACATGAAATTTCTGACTTTGTTCTGAAGAGGAATTTTCCAAATCAGTTTCCACAACTTCTAGTTTGAGTCAAAGGAAGTTCCAACATTTGAACTTATGCGGTCCTTTAAGCACAACTGATAGGCAGATCTCACTGAGTAGTTGCCTTTTGATTCATAATGCTAGGTAAGCTCATCATCAATAGTTCTTTGAGATAAGGGGATGCCAACAATCTGCAATACGTCAGCCTGCCCAAAAGTGGAGAAAATCATATCTTCTTTTCATCGACCAATATCAGGATCAATTAAGTCACATACTTTCAATTCAGGATCCAAGGTAGAATTATGTTGTAGAAGCTTGAAGGTAGAATTTCTAGGAATCCACCTATCATTGGCCACTGACACCATCGAGCCATTTTCTATCCTCTATCTAGAGCCTTGGTGGATCAGTTGTTTGGAACTCACAATACTTATCAAAGCATAGCTTGAATTGTCGCCTATAGAGCAATCATCAATGCCACATTTTGGGAAATATCTGCCTTTAAGCACCCTACCAACAAAGGAGTCTTCGTTCCTAAGTAACCTCCAGTACTGTTTCCCAAGAAGACTAGTATTGAACTAACTAATGCCTCTAAATCCCATTCCTCCTTCCTTCTTAGATCTAGCCATCATATCCCACCGTAACCAATGAATCTTTCTTTCTCCATTCCTCGATCTCCACCAGAACTTGGGTATCATTCCTTCAATTTCATTGAAAATTCCTTCTAGGAGCTTGTAACAGCTCATAACATAGCTTGGAATAGCCTGTGCTATAGCTTTTATCAGGACTTCTTTTCTGGCACGAGATATGAGCTTCTCTTTCCAACCCTTGATTTTTTCGAAACCTTCTCCACAACTAGAGCGAAAATCTCATTCTTTGATCTTCTTAAAACCACAAGTAAACCTAGATATTTGTCATGGCAAGCTACTGTCTTAACTCCCATCCTTGTTCGGATCATGTTACTAGGTTCTTCATCCACATTTCGACCAAAGGATGTCGTTGACTTATCCAGATTCACTACTTGGCAAGAAGAAAGTTGGTACTTATGAAGGATCCCCATCACCCTAGAAGCCTCATTTATGTTGTCGCGAGCAAAAAGAAGATTATCATCTGCAAAAAACAAATGTGAAATTGTTGGAGACTTTTTTGCTACTCTTAGTCCATGAATCCTATCATCCATCACCCCCTTCTTAATAGCCCTGAAAGAACATCTGCACAAAGAATGAAAAGATAAGGTGAGAGAGGGTCTCCGGTAAGCAGGAACAAAGCGGCGACATTGTTTCCCATTAAGAAGGACATTGTAAGAAACAATAGATATGCATCTCTCAATGAGTTCCACCATATGCATTGAAAAACCCATTAAGGATAAAACTTTTGTGACAAAACTCCACTCGAGCCGATCATATGCCTTTGACATATCAAGCTTCAAAGCCATATAACCTCGTTTGCCTTTGTTCTTCTTTTTTAACTAGTGAAAACATTCCATAGCTATCAGTGCGTTGTCAGTGATTAGGCGTCCTTGAACAAAACCAATATGCTCTTCATCAATTACCTCAGGGGGAATTCTCTTAATCTGATTTGCAATCGAATTGGTTACTAATTTCATCACCACATTGCAAAGACTTATTGGCCTGAAATTCATTGGGGTCGAAGGGTGCTTACATTTAGGAAAAAGGGAAATGTGTGTCGAGTTTATCAATCTAGGATCTTTGCCCTAATTCAGGATGTCAAGAACAAGCTTACCAACCTCGTTTCCAA